GTGGTAGAGCCCCTGCCTAGAATCCCCCAGTGAGGGGCTGGGGTGTGACTCAGTGGTAGAGCCCCTGCCTGTCATGCACAAGGCCTCAGGTTTTATCCTCACATTCCCACAAATAAAGAAAAGCCCCACAAGAGATGCTGACACAATGGTGACACATGCCTTTATCCCCAGCACTGGAGACCAGCCTGGTCTACATAGGGAGTTTCAGGGCTACACAGAGAAACCCAGTCTAGAAAAGGAAAGAAAAGAAAAGAAAAGAAAAGAAAAGAAAGGAAGAGAAAAGAAAAGAAAAGAAAAGAAAAGAAAAGGCCCTCCCAGGCACTCCAGCATCCCAAGAAGGCCATCAAGAGGAGACCAGAAGCCTGTGGTGGCTCATGTCTCTCATCCCAGCACCTCAGAGACTGAGGCAGGAGAATGGAGAGTTGGAAGCCAGATGGGCTACAAGACAAAAACTAAAAATAAAGTGGGTGGGGTAAAGGACTCAGAGCTTCCCAGCATGCTAGCTTCCCTCACACAAAGGGGAGGCCCTGGCCCAAGACATCATGGGCACTGAGTTCAAAACAGCTCAGTGCTGTGGACATACACAAACCTTTAACCTCACAGTACCTCTGAAAAATGAGACATCCAGACGGAGGACAAAAAGGGCCTCACCCAGGCCACCATCTGGGTCTCATCTCCAGGTACTGGGACAAAGGGGCCTGGCGCATCCACTTTTTGATAACAAGATCATAGAGTGAGTCAGGTACCCTTAGGTGAATGTCTTCTCTCTCTGCCTCAGTTTCCCTCCCTTGCCAAAAAAGACCACCTCTCAATTCTGTTGGGACCGTGAAAGGACATGAGGGCCTGTTGTCAAGGAGATGCTGGGCCCTCCCATCTCAGCAGGAAAGAGAAGTTAGCCCCCTTCCTGAATGGGCCCTCTAAGGCTCAGCCAGGGGGAAAGGCCCCACTTGGCCTTGGAATCACATTGGAGCTGCGTTGCTATGGTAACAGATTTTCTGTGGGCTTTTTTTTTTTCAGCTGCAGCAGCACAGAAAACCTGAGTCACAGGCTCCTAGGAGCCCAGGGAGGGGGCGTGGCTGTCTTCCAGCTTCCTAGGCGTCTCTGTGGTGACTCAGAGGGTCCTCCAACCTGCAACCCCCTTCCTGGGCTTAGCTGTTTGCCAGAGTCCCTCGCTTTGTTCGAAATAAACAATCCCCACAACCCAGCAGGCAGTTTAGCTTAGAACCCTCCAGGACATCACATCCCAAAGTCATACAGTGCTCAAAACCAAGCCATTCCTTGCCCCAAGAAAGGAGCCATCAGATACCCTACAAAGGCCAGCCTCACCTGTCACTCTTCAGCCAGTCACCCTTGAATTGATGGGGACAAAAATCCTTTGAAAGCATCCTTAGAACCAAACATGTAAATCAGAATGGGCAATGTGGGGCGACACAGCACGGGGTCTCCTTGGGCCAGCAGGGGCCGGTGAGGGTCCGGAGGAGCAAGGAGGAAAAGACCCTCCCCCGAATCCTGCTCTCATGGGAGCTCCACCTCCCAGGGACATAGCCTGGTTCAAAGTACCTCCGTGTTTTACAGATGGGGAAACTGAGGCCAGGGAGCAGGAAGCAGCAAATCTGCATGAATGATTCACAACCCCAGATTGCGCCTTCCCTCCCCCTATTCCTGGCTAGTCGTTCTCAACACGTGTTTCCCAAAGCCCAGCCCCACCCCGCCTCCCTGCCACGCAGGCCTGCCCAAAATGGCCTCCCCGGCACACCCACCCAGCCTCTCACCCTCAAAATGCCTGGGGAAGAATTGGCTGACAGGGGAATGAGACTTAGACCCGTACATATCAGTGCAGAAGAGGTCTGTGACCCCGAGTTCCCTTCAGATTCTCATCCTTTCAACTCCTTCAATTTCCGCCCCCTCCTGCCGCATCAGTGTGAATCATACAATCATGGCACCCTCAGAGAAGGGGACCTGTCCAGGCACGCAAAACACACCCTCTAGCTCCTTCCAGGCCCCAAGGGCCCAAGTCACCCGTGCCTTGCCTACCCTTCCCCAGGGCACAAGCCTTGGACACAGCTCTGTAAGCAGAAGCTGGTCTCTAGGCTAGAAAGGACCCGGCTTCTACAAAGTTCCCTCCAGTCCCAAATCCCAACCTTCCTCCTAGATATGCAAGGCTTCTCTATCTGCACCTCCCCGCCTCCGGGCCTTTGCTGTGGCCCCTGCCTGCAAGACTGGTCCATAAACTTGATGCATGCTCATTTCTGTTAACTCTTCTGAGGCAGCTCTTGGATCCTCAGAAAGGATCCCAGATCCTTATAATGTACTACCCCGATCCTGTATCCCCAATCTTTTGGTTTACATACCAGTCACATTCCCAAAGGACGTTAACTGCTCCTTGTATACCAATGTTTGCTAAACAGGTGAGAACTCTGACCCTCTCGACCAGCATTGTGAAACAAGAGAAGCTATGGTTCATTGGTGTATGTGGTGTGTGTGTGTGTGTGTGTGTGTGTGTGTGTGTAAAATGAGAGAACATTCTGGAATTAAGTACACCCAGTTCAGCATGTTGTTGACTTACTGTGTAACAGTAAGCAAATGGTTGCACCTTTCTGAACGTTAATTCAGCCAAACTCAGGCAGGCCCCACCCAAGGCTTTGCCCTCTGCATTGGGGGAGGGGGTCTTCCTCTCCACAGACTGGCTCCGGTCCAGCTATCTCTAAAGCCTGGGGTCCAATTTCCCAACCAAGGAAGCGAGATCTCACAAGCCCCTGCCAGCAGGCAGCAAAGACCCTTTGGAAAGTAGGGGGTTACGCCAGAAAGGAGGCGCCTACTTGTGCCATGCCCATGCCGGTCGGAAATGGCCTGCCAGCCTGCTAGAGGCCCTGGATGGGGACAGATAGAGTTGCAAACGATTGTTCCCAGCCAGAGAGGCCTTGGGCACCGGTTCACTCGAGGGTAGAGGCTTTTGGAGGGACACTCTGCCGAGTGCCGAACCGCGAGGCATGCACGGGAGGGCAGGGCGCCTGGCGGGCAGCCACTCGCGCCACGCCGCCTGCCGCCGGGGTGCGAAGGAAGAACCAGGCGACTTCACTCCGCGCCTCCTCACTGAACCCTGGACCAGGGACAACGCCTGGAGGGTTGGGGGTGGCTCCTCCGCAGAGGGACCCGCCTAAGCCGATCCCCTCCCCCAGCTCCGCGCATCTGGTTTTCCCATCTGCAGAGCCTTAGCAGGACAAAGGGGACGAGGGAGGGCCCAGCCGTGGCGACCCGCCCCCCTGCTCACAAAGGCCGCGGCCCAGAGCGCCAGGCCTTGGCGAGGGGAGGTGGGGGAGGGGAAGCCCCTGCGGACATCTCCCCCCCCCACCCCCCCCCCGTCTCAGGGCCAACCCCGCCCAGCACACCCCGCCGGGATCAAAAGTCCCTCCAACCTCTTCTATCTCGCCAGTTAAGGCGGGGAGGGCAGGGGTGACTGTCCCCTGGCCCTCCAGCCAAAGGCCCGCGAAACGGGAGAGGACGCACGAGGAAATGAACGGGGGGTTGGGGGGAGGAACCCTTCCTCTCCAAGACCTGGGACAGCCTATCCTAGAGGATCAGCTCACGAATGGGGGCGGCTCAGACTAGGAAGGAAGAGGAAACAGAGGTCTAAACTAGGTCTAGGGAGCCCCACGCCCCCAGCCAGGGGTGGGGGAGGTGGACAGTATTGCTTTAGGATGTGCTAGGCCGAATCCCCGTCCCCTCGTCAACTCCTCCCAGAAGCCCAGGTTCCGGGCAGAGGGGTGCTACATGCCTTTAATCCCAGCACAAGAGACAGAGACAGGAAGATTTCTGCGAGTTCAGGGCCTGCCCGGTCTACATAGCGAGTTCCAGGATAGCCAAGGCTATATAGTGAGACCTGGTCTTTCTAAATAGAAGTCCCATGGCGGAGCCCAGAGGCCTGTGCGCCTAAAGAGAGCCCAGGAGGAGATAGGGAAACAGAAGGATGCAGGAGTGCAGAGATGCTTTTGTGCACTGGGTCGGGACCCAAGGGAGGGGACATGTCCCCAACTCACCCTGGCGCGTGGACACGTTCCTCTCGTTGGCCGCCTGCAGCACCACCTGAGCGCAGCTCTGTTCCAGGGCGAAGAGCTCATCTTTGCCCACCTTGGTGGCCTTGCCAGCCTTGAGGGTGCCGCTGGGCCCGGACGGAGCCAGGTAGCGACCTTCGCAGTCGCGAAAGGCCACCTTGCCGGAGCGGAACTCCAGCGTGAAGCCCGTGGCGGGCTCGGGCCGCGCCACAAGGCGCCCGTCGTGGCGCAGGAAGCGGTGGTCGGACGTCTGCACGCTGTAGCGCTGGTCCTGGAAGGCCAAGGTGATGAGCGAGTCGACGCCCCAAGGCACGTCGCGGTCTACGGCGATCTCGTCGGCCGGTCGCGCGCTCAGATGCGCGTAGCGCTTGCGGGTGACGCTGTAGATGTTGACCTGCGGGTGCATGGCGATGTGCACGCTCCACTTCTCGGCCGGCGACACGCTCTGCGCGAAGCACGACAGGCGGTCCTCGGTGCCGCCGAAGTAGCGCCGGTGCGCCTCGGACTGCAGCGACCAGCGGCCGTCGTCGTGCGCCACGACGAGGAAGCGGCAGTCGCCGTCGGGCACCTCGCGCTCGCAGGTCACGTTGCCATCCTTGTCGGCGGCCAGGTAGCGACCCAGGTGGCTGCGCAGACACACGGCCGCGCTGCCCGCCTCATCGGGAGGTTGCTCCAGCGTCCAGATCTGCTTCTTCTTCAAGCTACTAGCCGATGCGTTCACCTTGAACCCGAACGCCTCGGCTGTCAGGTACTTGTTGCCGCAGCTGATGAGCCCGAACTGGATCTGCACAGCCTCGGTCGTGCCGTTGGCGGTCATGGTGGCGGAGGGCGGCCCGGTGGCCCCGGGATCTTGGGTGGCTGTGCCCGACCTCCTTTGTTCAGCACGGCTTAGCCCGCTGCAGCTCTCCACAAAGCCAGCCCGGCGGCGCCCTGGATTTTATAGGCGGGTGACGTCACAGTGTTAGGCCACGCCTCTACCCGGGCCTGCCAGGGGAGGGGGCTCTGCAGCGCGCGCCCGGGCCCCTGTGCTTCCCCTGCGGGTTTTTCTGGGGGTTTAAGACGGGGTCTCACTCTGTAGCCCAGACTAGGCTTAAAGTATATGTGTGGCTCAGGTTGGACTCGAACTCACAGCAATCCTTCTGCCTCTGGCGTATTCGTGTTTGCTAGTCCATTTAACTGTTCCTCCACAGTCGTTGTCTACAGTAGATGGCTGATCCCGAACTTTCTCGTGCTCTGAGGCCACCCTGGAGCACCCCCACCCCCAAACCCAGTCGATGGGAAGGACCAGGTTTAAGGTAACGATCCGTTCGGGATGGAGGGAAGGTCAAGGGTGTACCAGGAAGTAGCCTTACAGCCCATGGACTCCAGAAGATATGGCTGGAAACAGGGGTCTGGGGGTGGAAAGGAGATTAAGTTCTAGAGAGACACACGCAGAGCCCTACCTGCCCCACCCGCCTCAGGGTTTCTCGAAGGCCTTATACCTGGGCCTCCTGAGCAGAAACTGAGGTTTCTATTCCAGGGCCAGCATAGACTACAGCTACCCTGCTGACTCTGAATAAATTGTGGGGATTGTGGCCCAAGTCAGTGACCAACAAAAGTCCCCACCCTGGTGATGCTCAAGCCCTGGGGTGCTGCTCTACCAGGAAGCAGGGTGGGTAAGGCAGGCATAGCGGTCTCTGTTTATGAAGACATCAGAAAAGCGGGTTCAGCTCCCTGGCATGGCACAGCCCCAATGTAACTCTTAACTTCAGCCCCTCAGGGTTCCACACCAGAGGGACATTCCCACAAACACCACCTCCCACCACCCACCCACCCCATGTAAGAACACTTCCCTTTGAGTTTCTGGAAGGCCAGGACTTCTCCTAGGACATTCCCCACATGCCAGGCAGGCCCCTGGAATGCTGGCCCTACCACAGGCTGCCCACAAGATCTGGGCCCTGGCCCTTCCCAGCCACAGGCTGGGCAGGGTACTGAAGCTGACCAGTCCTCAGGGTGACCTGTGTTGAAACAGATCCCTGTCCCAGGCCGTCCCCTCCAGGGACCATCAAAGAAGAAGGGTAGATGGCATAGTTTCCTCATAACCAAAGGTCAGTCCTGACAAGCCCTTAGCATCCTTGCTGGGAAATCAAGTTCCTCCCTTAGAGGTCACAGGAAAGGTCACCAAGAATGAGGTTGATAGCTAGCCGCCCTCTCTGGCCTGGGACTTTGCATAGATTACTGGACTCTCTGAGTCTCCTTCTTCAGTAGTAAAGACACATATTCCTGGACACACTCCTGAGTCACACTCGTAATCCCAGAACTTGAGAGGCAGGGGCAGGAGGATTGCTATGAATTTAAGACCAGCCTTGGGGAAGCAGGTCAGAAGACTGGAGGTATTAACACCCAGAACCCTATACTGGGGGGTGCCCTGCAATCCGGTCCTCTGTTCAAACCTGTTTAACCCAGGAGCATCTTGGGCAGAATCGGACAAGTCAGCCTCATTACCAGGCTGCTAAGGCAATGTGTGCTATGTGTCAGGGCTCCATAAATGCTTGGTATTGATTAGTCATTGAGCATCACGTCAGGGCACGGGTGTGCAGGCTGTCTTCCCAAACTTTAGGCTCAAGCTACTCGGGGTGCCTGGGTGTGGTAATGCTAACATCAGCACACCAGAGGTAAAAGCAAGAGAACCTTTACCTAGAACCGTCATCCTAGGCTTCCGCAATGACCTTGAATGCCAGGCCAGCCTAGGCTATATGAAACTTTGCCTCAAAAACCCAAAGCCAGGAGCTAGAGCAAAGGCTCGGAGGGTAAAGTCATGCTCCCAGGCTGAAGGGCTGAATTCAGTCTCTGGACCGTCACGATGGAAGGCGAAACTAACTCCTTCATGTTTTCTTCTGACACTTCCCCATCTTAGACACTGTGGTACCCAAATGCCCCCTCTCCCTTCATGCATGCATATGTGTGTGTGTGTGTGTGTGTGTGTGTGTGTGTGTGTGTGTATGCAAAAGAGAAAAAAAGATCTGGGGAGATGGCTCAGTCATCAAAAGGCCAGTTGTGTAAACATAAGTAAGCAAGTTGGGATCACTAACACTTGCATATAAAGCTAGGCATACGGCGTACATCTAAAACCCCACTCTGGGGAGCTGGAAACAGGATCCCTGGGGTCCCCGACCAGTCAGCCCAGCCAAGTCAGCGGACTTCAGCTTCACTATGAGAAACTCAAAGCTAAGGTATCAGCTCTTCTAGAGGACCCAAGGTCCTCAGCACCCGTGAAAGCCCACAACCCCTTCTAACCCCAGTTCCAAGAGATCCAAGTCTCTTCTGGCCTCCTCAAATTCCTGCACCCACAACTCTTTTTAGAATGTTAAACTGGACGGTGTGCTGGTTGTGCACACCTTCAATCCCGGCACTTGGGAGGCAGAGGCGGGTAAATCTCTGATTTTGATGCCAGCCTGGTCTACAGAGCAAATTCCAGGATAGATGGAACTACATAGCGAGACCCTGTCTTAAATAACAACAACAAAAAAAATGTTTTTAACAAAATGGAGGAACCAACCAACAAGATGTCTCAGCAAGTGAAGACGCTTGTATCCAAGCCTGAATACCTACAGTGGGTCTTAGACCCACACAGTGGAGAAGAGAGTGACTCTCACAAGTTGTTCTCTGTCCTCCACACACATGCCGTGGCCTACAGTGCCCAGAGTCACTCATACACAGACAATAAAACTAAGGTGGAGCCGGACAGTGGTGGTGCACGCCTTTAATCCCAGCACTTGGGAGGCAGAGGCAGGTGGATTTCTGAGTTCGAGGCCAGCCTGGTCTACAGAGTGAGTTCCAGGACAGCCAGGGCTACACAGAGAAACCCTGCCTCCAAAAAACAAAAACAAACAAAAAAAAAAACCTAAGGTGGAGAGCTATACACACATGTGCACATGTACACACACGCTCACATGAGCACACGTTCACACACATAAACACATGCACACAGTATACATACATGCACATACACACATCCATATATTCACATGTACACACATGGATGCATACACACAGGTACACACATATGGACACATGCACATACACACATGATCACACACATGCACACAGTACACACTCATGCATACACACGTACACACGCGCGCACACACACACACACACATGCAGACAGAGTGTTATGGAAGGATACCACAGAGAGGCTCCTTGGGTTTTTCCCTTAAGCTGAGTTTGGGTCCAGCCCTCAGAACAGAGGCTTAAATGTTAGGGGACTTCCATCGGGCTCTGGGTGAGGTCGTCTGTGGAGGATTGAGGTTCGTTTCAGCAGAACCGAAGCCTTCATTGTTATCATTTCATGTGCCAGCCTTGGGAGCAGATAATACGTCCACAGCCACACAGTTCAAATACAAAGGATGAAACAACCTTCGACGCCCTGTTCCCACCCTCCCCCTCCACCACTAGCTAGAGATCTTCCAGGTGTTGCTCTTTAAATGGAGCCGAGCAAACAAGGATATATATCAACCCCACGGATGGTTTTGTTTGTTTTGTGATGCTTTCAATGAAAGTCACGGCCTTGAACATGTTAGGTGAGCAGCCTGTTACTGGGCCACACCCCAGCCCCTCACTGGGGGAGTCTAGATAAGGACTCTACAGCTGAGGTACCACCTCATGTTTTGCTTTTTTGCTTTTGGTTTTATGAGAAAGGCTCTCATCTTTTTTCTTGAGGGAAAGTTTTGCTATGTATTCCTGGCTGGACTTGAACTCAGAGACTAAAGGCGTGTGCCACCACGCTTGACCACACCTGTTTTTTTCCTTGGGTTCCAGGAATTGAATTCAGGTCTTGGGCTTGGACTGTAAGTGCTTACTGTCCCACCATTCCTTCATACGTCTTAGTAGCCATTCTTTGTTAGAAACAGTAGCTCCTTCATTCCCTTCCAGAACAGCATAGTATTCATACAGTAGCTGGCTCGAACCAGACCCTCAATGAGCCCGTCCGTCAATCACCAGCCTCAGTGTTTCTCACTTTTCTGTGCTTGGATCTGTACCAAATATACACACACACACAGAGGCACGTATACACACATGCACGTGCACGGTTGTGTGTCTTCAGATTGAATGCCTCTTCCTCTGGTGATAGGGAGGCCCCTCTATGCTCTTCTCTGAGCAAACATGGGTGATATAAATGTTTGCTCTAGATGAGGTGAAGGCTCGGGGGTGAGGTCTCTCTGGTAAACTCCTGAGAAAGGAAAATGGGATGTCCTTATGGCTGGGAGTTCTGCAGTTGGCTGGGTATAGTAACCATAGTTGGGAGTAAGGCTGTTATTGTCACTGCTGTGTCTCTGCTGCTGTTGTAGGCATGTCTAATAAAGAGCCACATGGAGCTCCAGCCTGCTCTATGTCACACCTTCCCCATGTGTCCCCAGTCCTGACACCCGAGTCCTAGGAGAGATGAGCTAGACCTGTACACATCACAAGATCTCCTCTTCGGCCCTGCCCCAGGTCCCTCTGGGGAAAGATGGGGACATGGACACTGTGTCCCTGGATCCCATGGGGACCCAAGTGCCACCTGATCCTTGCTGAGATGAGAGCGCAGCACAAAACAGAGCACTTAGTGGAGGTCAGGCCTGAGCTGCTTCTGGCTGGATGCCTTGCCCGGCACTTGCCCCAGACAGGAAATAAAGCCACAGGGACAGGCTGCCCTGCTCCCTGACACCTGCCTTGAACTTAGTTCCCTGAAGGAGGACTCCTGGAGGGCTTCCAGACTCCCCATGATCCCCTATTTCTGCCACTGCAGAGCAGGGACTTCCAAAGGGACCAGTAGTGACCCCCTGGGCTACACAGCACATCTACCCACCCCTCCAGCTCCCAGGTTGTCACAAGATTTTTTTTTCTTTACTGATTTTTTTGTGATGGGGTCTACATAGCCCAGGCTAGCTCCATAGACTTACTATGTAGCTGAGGATG